GTGGGAGGTGTGTGTGGCGGCGGGAGGGTTCGGCGGCGCGGCGCTCCACAGTGGGGGGGCGGGTGTTCAGTGGCGCTCCGTGGGGGGCTGGGGGGTTTGGCAGGGGGGTTCGGCGGCGCTCCGCGGGAGGTGTGTGTGGCGGTGGGAGGGTTCGGCGACGCGGCGCTCCGCGGGGGGCTGGGGGGTTCGGTGGCGCGGCGCTGGGGGGGTTCGGCGGTGCGGCGCTCCGCACGGGGGGGGGGGGGTGGGGCGGCGCAGTGCTGGGGGCGGGGGTGGTGGCGGGGGTGGAGCGGCAAAAAAGTTAGAGCCGGTCCTGGGGAGGAGAGGGCAGGGCAAGGGGGAAACTGGCAGGCAAACTCACCTGACAAATAGAGCTCTGAGGTCCATTACTGAGCCAGCTGCTGGGCTGACAACTTTGCATGTTTAGGTTAGAGGTGGATTAAGATATACTGGGGCCCTGGGCACAAGGAACATTTGGGCCTCCCACACACACCCCTGCCATGGAGCCACGCCCCCTGCTCCTCCCCTTCCCCCCAAGGTCCCACTCCCTGGCATGGCCAGAAGCCAGGCCATAGTAAGAGCTGCCCAGGGAGCCTGAGCCACTGTGGGGAGCCCCAGACCCTCCACCTGCCCTGGGCGGTGCACCCTGGGGGGCAGGGACATGGGTTGGGGGCTGCTCTCGGGCATCCTGGCCCCCTGCCCAAGGCAGGTGCAGGGTCCGGGGCTCCCCACAGCTTCCTAGGCTCCCTGGGTAGCTCTTACCACAGCCTAAGGCAGTGGTCCCCAAACTGTGAGACGTGCTCCCCTAGGGGGGCATGGAGGAATGTTCGGGGGGGCAGCAGGGCCCAGTCCTACCCCCAGCCCCAGCCCTGCTCCTGGCTGCACCCCCACTCACAGCTCCCAGCTGCGGGCCCCAGCCCTGCTACTGGCCCTGGCTCCTGGGGGTGGGAGACCAGGTAAGGGGGAGCCTGACTGAAAGCACACCCCTGGCCTAGGGTGACCATACGTCCCATTTTGGCCCCAGATGTCCCGACTTTTTTGGCAAAACTGGGCATTTGTCCTGTTTTCCCTTGTCAACTGATAACCAGTTATCAAGAGCAAATGGACAAATGACCAGTTTTGCCAAAAAGGAGCTTGGGGGGAGGAGGGGAAAAGGGAAAAGGGGCTCAGGTGAGCTCTGCACTGCACAGGGGGGAGGGAGAGGGGCTCGCTCCAGCCCCGCATGGGGGGCCTTCGGTCCAGCGCTGCGTCATACTGGGCGGGGGGGGGGGGGCGCCTTGGTCCGGCGGGGGCTCAGGCCAGCTCAGCGTGGGGCTTGGGCTAGCAGCACTCAGCCAGCTCTGCCTGGGGGCAGGGGGAATTGCTCACCACCCTGTGACGGGTTGGACCACAGAAACCCCCTTGGGAGCTGCCATCCGATGTGCCAAGACTACTTCTACCCCTGCTTTCCCTGCCAAGCTCGGGACCCCAGCACCCTGTCTTGCTGAGCCAGACGCTCCCGTCTGCTCCAACACAGACCCAGGGTCTGAATTACTTGCCCCAAAGCTGCAGGTTTACCTGAAAGCAGCTAACAGAAGTGTTCCTGTCTTTAACACTCAGATGCCCAACTCCCAATGGGGTCTAAACCCAAATAAATCCGTTTTACCCTGTATAAAGCGTATACAGGGTAAACTCATAAATTGTTTGCCCTCTATAACACTGATAGAGAGATATGCACAGTTGTTTGCTCCCCCAGGTATTAATACATACTCTGAGTTAATAAGTAAAAAGTGATTTTATTAAATACAGAAAGTAGGATTTAAGTGGTTCCAAGTAGTAACAGACAGAACAAAGTAAGTCACCAAGCAAAATAAAATAAAATGTGCAAATCTATGTCTAATCAAACTGAATACAGATAAGATCCTCACCAGTTCCAGAATGCTCCATTTTACAGACTAATCTCCTTTTAGCCTGGGTCCAGCAATCACTCACACCCCTTGCAGTCACTGCCCTTTGTTCCAGTTTCTTCCAAGTATCCTGGGGGGTGGAGATGCTCTCTCTTTACCCAGCTGAAGACAAAATGGAGGGGTCTCCTGGGGGTTTAAATTGACCTTCTCTTGGGGGTGGAGACCCCCTCCTCACTCCTATGCAAAGTCCAGCTCCAAGATGGAGTTTAGGAGTCACCTGGCAAGTCACATGTCCATGCATGACTCACAGTTTTTACAGGTAGCATCCATTGTTTACATACTACCTTGAACGCCCTCAAGTAGACTTCTTATGTGGATTGGAGCATTCCAAGATTCATTGTCCTTTAAGTGTTTCTTGATTAGGTACTTAACTTCAACATTCCTTTCTCCAGGAACTGACCAAATGCTCTACTAAAGTTATTTAGAAATCAAGCCAGCACACAGCCAACATTCATAACATTCATAACTTTGAATACAAAAATGATACATGCATACAAATAGGATTAATACATTCAGTAGATCATAACCTTTGAGATATGTTACATGGCACATGTAGCATAAAACACATTCTAAGCATATTTCCATAAAGCCTTATGGGAGATACCATCACACACCCTTCCACAAGCTTCCCGTTGGGCTGGAGGCGGGGCCTCAGGGGGAAGAGGAGGATCGGGGAGGGGGACAGAGGAGGAGCAGGGGGTGGGGCCAGAGTTCCAGCCACTCCTGCGGGGCGCCCGAATTGGCTGGGGCCTCTGGGCACAGGCCTCCTCCGGCCATACAGTAATCCGCCACTGGTTTA